AGCATATGATGTCAAATAGTCTGTATCCATCGCTGCAGTCAGCCTATAGACAGAACCACAGTACAGAGACAGCGCTATTAAAAGTTAGGAGTGACATACTTATGAAAATGAATTCCCAGAACGTTGTTCTCTTAGTATTGCTAGATCTTAGTGCCGCCTTTGACACAGTAGACCACGAAATTCTTCCGAGTAGGCATCACTCTACATTCGGTATCACTGGTAAACCTCCAGATTGGTTTGCCTCGTACCTCACTGGCAGGAGTCAGCGTATATCTATCTCAGGTGTTCTATCAAACTATTTTCAGTTAAGTTGTGCAGTTCCTCAGGGTTCTTGCCTTGGTACCCTGCTTTACGTCATCTACGCATCTAAACTGTTTGACATCATCGAAATGCATCTTCCATATGCTCACTGCTTTGCAGATGACTCCCAGCTATATTTGGCATTTAAGCCTGATAGCTATATGGAGCAGAACAAAGCCTTAGCTGCGATAGAAAACTGTATACGTGACATCCGCTCATGGATGAGAAACGACAGACCCTTATTGAATGATGACAAAACCGAATTCCTCATTATAGGTACTAAACAGCAACTTGCCAAAGTGAATATTTCTCAGATCAAAATTGGTGATTTAGTCGAAAGTTGTTAGAAATCTAGGATCCTGGTTTGATGAAAGATTCACCATGGAAACGCACATAAATAAAGTATGCAAAACAGCTTTTTGTCATCTCCACAATATTAGAAGAATTAGAAAATACCTATCACCTTAGTCAGCTGAAATTCTGGTTCACGCGTTTATCACCACAAGGTTGGATTATACTGCGATAGTTTGCTGTTTGGACTGCCGCAGTATTAGCTGGCCAAATTACAACGGGTGCAGAATGCTGCGGCCAGGCTTATCTGTAAACTACCTAGATTTTGCCACATTACACCTGTACTTCGTAGTCTCCACTGGCTTCCAATTAATTATCGTATCGAATTTAAGGTCTTATTAATCACGTTCAAGGCAATTCATGGTATTGCACCTGACTATATTTGCAACATTGTAAACGTTAAAAAGCCCTCAAGGTACAATTTACGTAATAATGAAGAGACCTTACTAGTACCACCACCGGGCAAATCACTTGTGACATTGGGAAATAGAGCATTTGCATCTGCAGCCCCAAAACTATGGAACTCTTTGCCTAAGGCTATTAGGGCCACAAATTCATTATCAACCTTCAAGAGCAATATCAAGACTCTGCTTTTTAACTGTGCTTGTAATGCTTAGATATCTTCTGATCATTGTAATATTTTATTCTCATTCACCATGTAATTGGCGCAATATAAATTTCATTTTAAATTAAATTAATTAAATATATATCAACTGTGAGTTTTCCCTGGAATTTTTCCAAAACGTCAAGTTATTTCAAAAGATTGACTGAATATTTGCCATGCATGCATGTATGCTTTGTTAAGGCCCTGTCACACTATTGCGTATCGTACTAGCGTATGCCAACGTATGAAAAATATCACTCATGCGCCGGTATACGTTGACATACGCTAGGGTACGTTAGGCATAGGTTGTCTACGTTTCAAGCACGGTCGCATACGGTGGCATACGCTGGCATACGGCGAGGCAGAAAATTTTTTTTAAGCATGTTCAAAAATTTTGTGCGTATTGCACGTATGCTTTATACGATAAGCATACTCTAGGCACACGCTGAATACGCTAGAGGTACGCCATGCAGATGTACGGTACTCATACGCTTGCATTTCAAAAGATTTTTGTTTTGTACGTATGAAAATTATTTCATTAATTTTGATACGCTTCTCATACGTTTCTCTCATACGCAATAGTGTGAGAGGGCCTTTACTTGCTTAGTGTTGTTGCTGATGCTGGAGAAATCGAAGTCTACCTGCATGAATATTTTAGATACATGCAATAGTATTTTGAATCAGAAATTAATATACTCGGAGCAGAATAGTTTTTTCAAAGCTGAACTTATATACACGTTATAGGCATGTTCCAAACGTTGCGTTTCTTTGTCGTTCGCCAGATTTGCACTAAGCCTGATTTGCATTACGTTAATCTGAAATTTTAAGAATAACGCGGGCTGTCGCATATATGCAGCATGAAGTGGATATTTTCCTAACTCGCTTTTCCTAACGATCTTTTCCTAAAGACGCTGCCATAGAGTCAGAAAAAAAACCCATGAGATCAACACGTCTCAAAAGTTGTACACCATTTTCATTTTCCTGCTTTTCGGTCGTTCTCCAAGATTACCGATAGATTTCATGTTTGGTTGTAACAAAGTTGAAGACAGACTCGACCACAAAAATTATGAGAAAAAGTAGTCCAGTGGAATGAATGACGCTTATACTTTCGCCTGCGAACATGCTTTTAAGAACAGTTTAAAAGGAAAGAGATATTATGATAAAGGTGCGAGATATTCTACGTTAGAACGTAGTGATCGTGTACTAGTAAGGAATTTAAGTGAAAGGGGTGGTCCAGCAAAGTTGAAATCGCACCGGAAGAAAGACATTCACATTGTCGTAAATTGCATGCCGGACAGTCCAGTGTATCAAGTGAAACCAGAAGCGAAAGATGTAGGCAACGATTACTTTATCGGAATCGTATCTTACCGTGCGATTTCCTACCACTCTCACCGGAACCCCAACAAAGAACAAGTCCAAAACCATTCAAAAGAAGGGTAAAAGCCTAATTGAAATTGCATATGGAACAAAAGAACAGGTCCAAAGTAATGACTCTGAGATTTTGATTCAAATATTACGTGAACCGAGAAATTTTAGTTAATGTTAGTTATTAAGTGAAAAGAAATCGACAAAGTAAAGATATCAGACGAAGATGTTGTTTGCCTGGCCAATAAGCAGCAAATTCATAATAATTTGGACTTAAAGAACATGAAGGACTCGAACAACATTGCTTATTATAGAACTAAATCCGCTTGGATTCGTTAACATTCACATCTTAATGTTAAAGAACACTCTTTTAGGAGTGGAGTGTGTGACGTAACCAATTTAAGTCACCCTGTCTTGGGTACCTGTTGAAAAATCGTCACGTGACGAGGCAGCATGCTTGAATTTTGTACTTTTTATTGAACTTTATTAAAAACGATACTTAAGCCAACAAAATGTAGTATTTCGCGTGATAGTTGAACAGGTAACACTTACTTTTCCAAAGTCTGGTTGAACCATCCAGTCAGTCCATTTGTTTGTTGGTGATACGCACTGGTAATGCACTGACCAACACCAGTACGAGCGAAAAGCTCGTTGTTCATCTGTTATAATAAAAACCAAATTCAATTATATGAAAACTAAGTCTGTAAAAAATACAGCTAAGTCTAATACGACCATGTTATGCAAGACAAGTTTCAGTACCTGGTTTACAAATTCTCTCCCTTGATCACTGATTACGGTTTCCATACACCGTATTGCAGTATCATCTTAACAAGAAGTCTGAAATACACTCCGTACTCTTGTTTGGAAGAGCTTGTATTTCTGGCCATTTAGAGAAGTAGTCAGTCAGAGTGGCTATGCAGCTGTTTCTCTGTTTGCTTGTCTTGAGTGGCCCAATCAAATCTATACCCACCTGTGGGAAAAATGATTAAGTTATAACTAGAATAGTAATACTAAGGTCAACTAGAATACCAAAGGCCTGTTTACACCCCGTCTTTCCCAGCAAATTTGTTACTGATTTTTTCTGTGTTAGTGTAATGTACTCAGGTGAATATGATGCTTGTGATGTTACTCTGAATGTATATCCACACCGGGCAAGCTTGAAAAATATGCCTGTCCACGGTGGGAATCGAACCTACGGCCTTTGGAATGCTAGCCCAATGCTCTGCCAACTGAGCTACGTGGTCTGGTCGGTTCGAGTATGTGATATTTCGGAACAGAATCTAGTTCCTTCAATATCAATGTAATCTAATAATCATGATTTTTTCTGTGTTGGTGTAATGTACTCAGATGAATATGATGCTTGTGATGTTACACTGAGTGTATATCCTCACCGAGCAAGCTTGAAAAATATGCCTGACCACGGTGGGAATCGAACCTACGACCTTTAGAATGCTAGCCCAATGCTTTGCCAACTGAGCTACGCGGTCTGGTCGGTTCGAGTATGCGATATTTCGGAACAGAATTCCGAACAATGAATTGCTTCGTTCTTTAGAAAACTCCCATCCAATTGGAGACGACCTTCCGAGGCACTGCGTGGCTTCCCAATAAAACATTAAAAAAAGGAAAATAATTAATGAGGAATATTCATATGTCGCTACTCATGTATCACATTCCTTCAAGAATAGAAACGGCATTTGACCCACCCCCCGTTCGAACAGGTATTTTGTGAGGAATCCAATAGTGGTTTTTGTTTAAAAGGGGGGAAGTGGGTATATAGTCGGTGGGTAATTACAAACAACTAGTCATTTCCCAATCGAGCAGAGGACTGGGTCTAGTTGATGTTTGGAGGGACATTTGGAGAGATAACAAGTTATAGTGAGCAAGTTAAATATATATTAAAAGATGCTTTATTATAATTGTTGCGCTTCAGGTTGCGCAAATAACTTTAGGAATGTAGGAAAACTTCCTAGATGCCAGATTCGGCATATTGTTTATTTTTTATCCCTCCAAACAAACAAATGACTAATTGAATCGTAATACTGTGATCAATGTATTGTTGGTTAATGGGTTAATATAACGAATTACATTGGTTTATTCTGTTGAAAAAAGAAATGATTTTACTAGTTAAGAGGAGACAAGTGCCCATCAATTACTCATTCAAACAATTACCTCCTTATGCATCAGTCAAATCCAAGCGTGCCCACCCTCGCCTGGGCCACCGCGGGGCATTTTCCTGTAAAGCTCGTCCTGGGGGTTGGGCATTTGATCTCAAACCTTTTCCCCGGGCAGGAGACACATGAAATTAACGATTTCGAGGTTTTACAATCACCGATAACTTGATAAAATAAAATAAAACAATACCAGTTTCAGTACATTTAAATTAATTGCTGCTTGCCCTCAGGCAAACAGCACACTATTATTCACATTCACTCGTGCCCAGTGTCTTTGGCCGAGTTATGTAATGCCAATTCCAATCTCGACTTTGAGAAATTAAATTTGTCCGGATTTTCAAAACGGGGGTATTTTGGTATGCGACGTTTATTCAAAAAATTGGGGGCGGGGCGGTTATTTTTTATCAATGCTTCCCGAACTCCTTTGAAAGTTTGAGTCCTATTTCGGAGAGCTGTCAGAGAGTTTCGACGTAAATATCAAGTAAAAATTTCGCGAAAAAGTCAATTTTATATACGTTTACAAGCTCTAAATTACTTTGTGACTGTTCGTTTTTTGTCAGTTAACGTATTGAGTCTAAATAGTTGATCATAATTGCTCAACACACAGATTATTTTACATTTATTTTGCATTTTATTTTGCATACGCAAAATATCTTGAATACCGACCAGAACCGCATGGACATGGTTTTGTACTCATTCAATCATCTTGAAATATCTTCTCAAACCCAGTGTCAGTGAACTCGATAATATCCAGTGAACTGTATATATAGAGTGTCTATTTAATTTCCATTCCAAATTATGTTACTTCAGATAACATCTGGTCATTAAACCTAGTTTAGTAGTAAAATGTGTCTATGGCCCATTGTGGTGGAGTCCATTAAGGCATACACCGGCACAAAGTCCTTGGAATTTATGTACTGATTTATACAGTTACACCAACAAGTCGTGCCATCCTAGCCTGTGTAGAGCCGTTACTCTCGACGAAGCGCGCGAGAGAACGTCTGTGAGTTGGATGCATAATCCTTGTTCAGGTCATGCGGATAGTTCCCAGATTTGGGGCCGGCCTCTGAATGGACAGTGCTTTATTTGAATAATTTATGACAAATGAAGTTATTTCATCGGTTAACTTGACCATTAGCATGCGTTTAAAATAACACCACAAAAATTTTAAATTCAGAGATTTCCAGATCAATAATTCCTTCGGGGCATACAAAGGTTTGAAAGACTTGAAATATAATCTGTTGAGTTTAATTTCGTGCTGTATCGAAGTTTCAGAAAATAAAGATAAAATTCTAGTGTTTGGACACTCGGCGAACAATGCTGACAAATACATAAAATACAACAAAACTATTATCGGACGGAAATTGATAATTTATAATTGACAATTAATAAATTGACAATCTGTTTATATGTCCCGACCCTTCGCGATAAAGCATTTTCTTTATATGTAAAGGTAACTTTTAATTACTTTAAAATGCACCTTTTGAATAACCAGTTGTGTTTATATTAAATAGTTTGTCTTGTAAACATAAATATACGCCATATGTACGCCAAGAACTGAACTTGTACGTCGCACTTGCCGGCAATGATCATCAGCATTGTGGTATATCCGGACATTTTGCCGAAAGACACTTTGTCGAAAGACATTTTGTCGAAAGACATTTTGTCGAAAGACACTTTGCCGAACGGACATTTTGCCGACGGACGTTTTGCCGAACGGACGTTTTGCCGAACAGACATTTTGCAGAACGGACTGTTTGACGAACGGACAGTTTACCGAAAGGACAACTTGCCGAAAATAGAGATGTTATTTCGTCAAAATGTTTGAGACTGTGACTCATTTCTCAACTGTGTAATTCAAAACCGTTGTGTAAAATGACCATTATATGTGGTCATTAGCAATGCATAATGGTCGTTAGCAGTGCATAACCATATTGACTATTGGTAGCTTTTTGTGCAGCGGATGACTCGATCATCTGTTAGGAACGTGTTTTGACGATATAAAGACAACGACGTAAGTGAATTTCACTTCGACAATCATGGAATACATTCACAGTTCTTGGGGAAATTTCTATAAATTTGTCAAAAACTCTAAAGAATATAAAACGAAACTATACTTCACTATCAAAGTTTCTGTCATCAAAATCGACAATGACTTTAATCATAGAAACTTTGACCGTGTAAGCGAACCTTTAAGGTTCAGAAGATATCTCTATTTTCGGCAAGTTTTCCGTTCGGCAAAATGTCCATTCGGCAAAATGTCCGTTCGGCAAAACGTCCGTCGGCAAAATGTCCGTTCGGCAAAATGTCATTCGGCAAAATGTCTATCGGCAAAGTGTCTTTCGGCAAAATGTCCGGCCACCAGCACTGTTCGCACTCAAAACAAATCTTTCATCGAGAAATATATGCAATATATTTTTGGTGTATCGTTTTTCAAATTGTATTTCAAGTCTTTCAAACCTTTGTATGCCCCGGAGGAAAACTTGATTCATGATCTGGAATTTTAAAATTTTTGTGTTGTTATTTTAAACGCATGCTAATTATCAAATTAACCAATAAAATAGCTTCTTTTGTCATAAATTATTCAAATAAAGCACTGTCCAATCAGAGGCCGGTCCCCAAATCTGGGAACTATCCACGAGACCTGAACAAGCATTATACATCCAACTCACAGACGTTCTCTCGCGCGCTTCGTCGAGAGTAATGGCTGTACACAGGCTATGCCATCCTGCCAGCTCGAAATATTCTATGGATTGTTTGTTGAGAAATGACATATAATTAAAGAGAGATTGACAATGGAACTTCTACCCCTCTGTTATGTCAGAGATCAAAGTTTCTGGCAAAACACTATGGCTATGGGCCGGCCGTTCCATTTAATCCCCCCCCCCTCCCCTATGGATGGATTTTTCTGAAGGGTGACTACATTTGAAGTTGTTTTTGAGGGGTTTAGCCTGTCGGCATCCTTTGATCTCTGCAATTTTTCTGAGGGGTATTGGGGAAAATTCACAAATTCCAGAGGGCTTTTTCTCTTAGGGGTTGAAATTTTACTGACCTCATCCATGGGAGGTGGGGGGAGGGGGTGGATATTAAATGGAATGCCCTGTATTGACATTACCATGAACAGTTATGCCTCCTGTTTCTTCTGTGTCCGTTAGTAAAAATACAATACACACGTGACGGTGAAACGACCAGATTTATGAATAAACGTTGACTAACATACATAATGAGTTATATTGTTATTCTAATGAGTTTCACAGCCATCTTCCCTTCCATAGGCTATGGCTAAACCCAACTAGACCTTCACTAGACTGCATGTGGATGTACTGTAAGATGCCCTGAATTTCAAAAATTTTCTGACCTATTTAAAAAACCTACTCAATTTTAGGCTCTCGCTCTCAAGTTGGGGCCCTATTAAGGTGGGGGTCCGGAGCAATTTGCCCCCTGCCCTCTGTTATGATTATTAGATCATGTATAATATTGCATGTCCGGAATATATACTTGACGCATACCGCGCACTGGGACCGATGACGATTTAGTGCGTGATAGTAGATACTTAGAACGGTACTGAATTAAGAGACAATCTCCACTAAAACCGAGCAAAATCGAGAATACGTGGCACATGAGGAAAAATAAAAAAATCTTATTTTGTCCAGTACTCTAATGTGTACTCAGAAACGTGGTGGGGTTTGTTTTCTGAAATATTATTTTAAACGCCGAAAATTATCAAAACCTGACACATACCCGAGATTCGCGAAATTAGCAAAAAAATTGTGAGCCACGGCCTCTCGAAAATTTCGTTTTTCTCAGTTGGCGTCTCATGAAACCTCACCTTTCGTTTTTAAACGTGTTTATAAGATGTTTATAAAGAACGTGGGTCCATTTTGCAATTTTGGAAATGATGTTTCAATGTCAAGACAAGCGTGTAAATATCGCCTCCTTTTGCCATCCAAAAAATTCTAAATTGGAACATTTTTTGAAAATTAATTTTCCGTAGCCGGAAAAACTCTAATTTCCTTGAAATTTACGGAATTTAAAGAGACACTTTTGCTCTAAAAGCTGATGTAAAAATTATTTTGGGGCTTTTTGTTACCGAGGAATTATACTGACTATAATATCGAGAAAATCACAAGAAAAACCTTAAAAATCCTCAGACAATTGGGCAACTTGCTTCAACTATAGACAGTCGAAACTTAATAATTTTTGCTTGTTATTTATAGGAATAAATATTGTTATTTATAGGAAATATAAGACGTAGATCATTTTAAACTAGTTTGCCTATTTCTAGATAAAAATACGCTGTTAAACTCTCCAAGACTAAGATTTCTGCTTTAAAATCTTGTTTCAATTGATCGATCCATGCGCGCCAATTAAAATAAACTATAGAGTATAGAAACATTTGTATACACTCGCTAAATTCAAGGCTATATATACTTACTATAAACAGTCAATTACTTATATTTGAGCATGTTGTGCTCTAAGCAGTTCAGTTTAAGCATCAAACTTCGGCCATATGTTCATTGAGGCCGCGGGCAGTCGTTTAATTAAAGGGACAGGGCCGTTCCTAGCGCGATAATTTTTTTTGGGGGGGGGATGTATTCATATATATTCGTGTTCTGCCCGACGGAATTCTTTTGAAAGTGATTGTTTTTACGGTAGCGAGCATAAATATATGAATATACCCCCCCTCCCCCACATTATCGCGTCTAGGAACGGCCCTGTAAAGGGAAATAGCATGAATATAGAAATTAGATCCCCTTATCTGAAAGAAGTTTTAACATTTTAAAGCTTTTTTTAAATCTCGCTTCTGTTGTGATGGAGCTAAACTGTGGAATTCATTATAATTACCTAAATTCAATTGACGCTTATAATTTGAGTTTGTGTAATTGTCGAGGGTCGTACGTCGAGGTCGAGGGAAAAAGTCGAGGGTCGAAAATAGTAAATTTTTATCCATTTAAGTGTTACAACTATTTTGGAAGCTTCCAAAACAATTAGTTTTGCTTTCAAAACTGAAAAATTTCGCCTATGGCTATAATCTATGTATACTGAAAATTTCGCTTGTGGAACTAAAAGTCTGGTGCGAGGTTTGATGTTTGAAAGTATACGTATTTTATTATACATTGGAATTTAAAATATACAAACATGGGCGATGATTAGAGGCGATGATACAAAATTTTCTCAAGAGAAATTTGATTATAAGAGGCTGTTTATATATGGTCCCGCTTACCCGGGATTCAATGAAGTGTGACGTATTTTGATCGAGCAATTGAAATACGTGTTTCATCCCTAAACAAAAGTTAGATAACTTTAAATATTTTTTAAACCAAATTAGAATGCGCTAGAAGTTATGTAGTGGAAGCGAGGGCCAATTAAAGGCCGGAGGAAATGTTTAAATTTAGAGTCTCTGAAATGCCATTTCCTGGATTTGAGGAAGATTTGTCAGAATTCTGATGGTCAGAAAACAGCGTTTTAGTATGTCGAAATTTACAATTTAGTAGTACTATATGGGCAAAGGCATATTTAAGCCCCGTTTACACTACGCTCAATTTTTGGTACGGCACGGATAAAATTGGTACCCGTACCACTTTTTTGGTTCTTGGACTACCTAAACGAAGTTTTCGAGAGGCTATGACTCGCAATGTTTTTGGCTGATTTCACGAATCTTGGGTACGTGTCAGGTTGTGATAATTTTTCGGCGTTTAAAATAATATTTCAGAAAACAAACCCCATCACGTTTCTAAGTGTACATCAGTGTATCACCGGACAAAATAAGAAAACATTTCATTTTTCATCATGTGCCACCTGTTGCTCGGTGATAGTGGAGATTCCCTCTTAAAACTGATTGTAGGTTATAGGTCTGACGAATAAAACTTTTGATTACAAACATAACATGGTGTCAGGAATATAGCTAACATGGCTACTTCGAATTCACTCCCACCGCCAAGACCGTTGTCGTTTGAAGGAAATCTAGCAGAAAATTGGCGTTGGGGGATACAGCAATTCAGATTATATCTAAGTGCAACTAGAAACGACAAGAAAGATGAAAAAGTTCAGTGTTCAATTCTATTAACCGTTGCTGGGGAGGATGCTGTTGAAGTTTTAAACACATTCACATTCACAGAGACTGAAGAAGACAAGATTGAACTTCTTATTGCAAAATTTCGTGGTTATTGTACACCTAAAAAGAATATAACTTTTGAAAGGCATGTATTCAACACTCGTTGTCAAGAGTCTGATGAATCTATCGATACCGCGTTATATACAACGATATACAACGATATACAACGTTACCGCGTTGAAAAAACTTGCAAATTGTGCGAATTTGGTGACTTACAAGACTCCCAAGTAAGAGACGGGATAGTGTGTGGAATTAAAAGTGCTGAAGGCAAGACTGCTGCGCGGTCCAGCGCAGGGTATGTCGATCCCGGTTACGAGGATCACGAATTGTGCAACTGCCCTGCAAACGGACAGACGTGTCATGAATGCCAAGGAAGAAATCATTTCGCCAGGGTATGTCGTTCTTCTGGAAAGCCTGCGCATGTTGTTGAAGAAAGTTCAGATTCAGAGAAAGAAATGTATATCGTAACTGTAACCAAGAAGAAGAATTCGAAGAATGGATGGAATCAGGAATGTCGTCGTTAAAGTGGGCAAAAGAGATATAGCGTTGAAACTTGACACTGGGGCTCAATGCAATGTTATCCCCTATGAAACATATAAGCGAATGACTAAAGAGAAACCTGTCAAGTCAAAGACAAAACTTGTCTCATTGATCGAATGGAAATCTCGGGGCAATTGAAAAGGTTGTTGAACCGACAGAATGGGTCAATTCGTTAGTCGTGGTTGAGAAGAACAATGGGAAAGTACGAGTGTGCCTCGATCCAAGAGATCTAAACAAAGCTGTTCTTAGAGACCGCTATCCCATGAGGACAATCGAGGAAGTTGCTGCAGAGTTGAATGGAGCGAAGGTGTTTAGCACAATTGACGCATCGTCAGGGTTCTGGCAGGTTAAATTACATGCAGAAAGTTCAAAACTTGTAACTTTCAACTCACCATTGGGAAGATATAAGTTTTTAAGACTTCCATTTGGTATTAACGGCGAATGACGCAAGGCGAATGAATGCTTCCAACGGCGAATGACGCAAGCATTGGAAGACATCGAGGGAGTGGCTGTTATTGTGGACGACATCTTGGTGTGGGGTACAACACTTGAAGAATACAAGCTCAACAAAGAGAAATCAAAGATTCAGACGAGTGAACTATCGTATATTGGACATCTCTTAACCCGTCATGGCGTTAAACCGGATCCACAGAAAGTTAACGCCATTAAAGAGATCAATACACCTGAAGACAAGAAAGAACTGTAGAGATTTATGGGGATGGTAAATTACCTGGCAAAATTCATACCAAACCTTTCAAGCGTCACTGTTCCATTAAGAGAACTGTTGAAAAAGGACACTGCGCGACATTGGGAGGAAATACACCAAAAAGCGTTTGAAGAAATCAAGAGTAGAGTCACGGCAGGGAACTTACTGCAGTACTATGATGTGTCAAAACCAGTAGTGCTATCGGTAGACTCCTCATCTTATGGACTAGGGGTATGCCTTCTCCAAGAAGAACGAATTTTAGAATATATATATATATATATATTATATATATATATATATATATATATATATATATATATATATATATATATATATATATATATATATATATATATATATATATATATATATATATATATATATATATATATATATATATATATATATATATATATAAAATTTGGTTTTGTTGGTTATAAAAACTTTTGGCAAAGTGCTCAATGGAAAACCAGAGCATATTTAAATTAAGGTACAACAAATCAACAAAATCCACTAGGCATCTTTATTACTAAATAGTTTCGTACCACAGTATGTGGCACTCTTCAGATAAATTGACCTAGAATATAAATTGATTGGTCATTAGGTCATTATATATATATATATATATATATATATATATATATATATATATATATATATATATATATATATATATATATATATATATATATATATATATATATATATATATATATATATATATATATATATATATGTAATATATATATATATATATG